CCTGGAGAGGAAGGCCAGCGAGTCAGGCTCTGAGTGGTTGAGGAGAGCCGGAGGCCCAAGGGGCAAGCTGCTTCCATCTTGCTGCCAGACACGGGCGCCAGCCTCTTAGCAGCGCGTTCTAGGATTTAGCCCAAGTCGGCATGAATGTGAAGGATGGACTGGCTTGTGTGGATGGGCCTCCTTCAGGCACAGCTTGATCCAGGCACCCATGGGGGGTGGCAGGAGTCAATCTGCCTGCGTTCTCAGACAGGGATTCTCTGCTCTTTCCAGGGAGACAGCTGCCTGCATCTCCAGGTTCCCATTCAATGTTTGGAACCAGCAGAGCAGAGAGGATTCCTTGTTCCCAAAGGCAGAAGGCCGAGGATGGAGCCTATTGGCCTGTCTTGGTTAGATGTCCATCCCTGAACCTATCACCTGGGACAAGGCAGTGTCATGCCGTGATTGGCCAGCAGAAGGGGTGTGGCCAGGCCACTCACACCCATGTGGGCAGGCAGAGGCTCTGCTTGGCCAGCAGAGGGGGTGTGGCCAGGCCACTCACACCCACATGGGCAGGCAGAGGCTCTGATTGGCCAGCAGAGGGGGTGTGGCCAGGCTACTAACACCCACATGGTCAGGCGGAGGCTCTGATTGGCCAGCAGAGCCCCCACATGGGCAGGCAGATGCTCTGATTGACCCGTAGAGGGTGTATGGCCAGGTTACCCACACCCTCATGGGCAGGCAGATGCTGGCGGGGGGATTCCAACACCCTCTGGGTGGCCTCCAGCCGCATCCTGGATGCGGCACTGGGATGTCCTTTATTTGTGTGGCAGAGGCCAGACTTTGTGTTTGGGAATAGCTGTTGGGCTCTCCAGTAAGTGGCAACATGTGACCAAGGGTCTGATTCTCACCATCCTTAGGAGCCCCTGTCTGTCTTGGAGGAGGCCCTGGGTCAAGGTCAGGAACCTTCTGGAAGGCATACAGGGACCTGCCCCCTCTCCCGGCTTGCCATGACTCTGCATCTTCAGTAGGGTCCTAGGTCTCTGGGCTCAAATGGGGACCACACTGCTCTAAGTGGTCAGGACGGTTTCGTTGTAATTAAGCTAATGGGAGGGACGAATTAATCGGTGGCACTGGCGGGCCTCCTGAGTGGTGACTGGGGGTGCCAGCGTACCGGAAGTCACACAGAGCTTCCTGAGCCATCTCGTGGACCTGCTCCGGGCAGCAGGGGCCTTCCTCACCCTCTGGCTTGTGTTGAGGATGTTTTCCTCACATCCCTGGACAGTCTGGGAGGCCTGGGCTTGGCTAGCTCTCGCCAGCTGAGGATTTGGGAGCGCTGAGTGCAGCAGGGAGGCTGAAGTCCTGGGAGGAGGGCAAATGAGCAGGTGCCCCTCCTGAGCAGCTGCCCCTGAGTGGGCGGGCACTCTTCCCCAGGCAGGAGGGCTGGCTGCACCCCAGCATTGGTTCTGAGCTCCTGAGCGTGCAGAGGGATGGGGCGGGGGGCTGGCTCTCTCCAGGTGTGGGCGGGGCAGGGGGCTGGCTCTCGTCCTGTGTGGGTGGGGTACAGGGTAGGCAGAGTGGGGGGTGGCTCTCTTCCCGTGTGGGTGGGGTATAGGGTAGGCAGAGTGGGGGCTGACTCTCTCTGGGTGTGGGTCGGGTGCAGGGGGGGAGGGTGGGGCTGGGTCTCT